ATTCTTGTAGTTGTTTGGCCTCCCATTCATCCCATATATCCTTATGATCTAACCATCTTTCTTGAACATCCATTATATCATGAAAACCTGGTTCACCACTAATAGCTGTCATCATAATACTTTCGTTGCCATGTGTTAATCCACCAAATGCATAACCATTTGCTCTATCTATTACTTGCGTAAGTTTCAAGACGGATTTTTTGTCCTACAAAAGATATTCACATTAGATATTTACAGGAAGGAAAAAGATGGTGGTACTATGAATCAGAAACACACCTCAATGCAAAGAGTATGAAATCCAACCAAACTAAAATCTTCCACTAAGTCGCACAGCGCTTTGTTTAATTCCTTAAATCGACTGGCAAACGGATCCTCATCTAAGTGCTGAAGTAAATAAGACAAATCTTGCACTTCTGTATAGAATTCCAAGTTAAAAGCTAGTATAATGAGAGATATATAGGATGATGATTAGTGGATAGTGGTAATATGATAATTAACTATATTACAAAAAAGTATTCTCTTTTTACCCAGTTTTCCATATGATTCCATCAAGTCAACTTTTGAAAGTACATTGATATGCGGTAATTCAATCTGTAACATTGTCTTAAGGGACAATAACAAAACAGAGATGTACTTTGTTGGATCTGTACAATAATGAGCATCTACTAGATGTACTGTGACCAGCTAACGAGGAAAGTTTGGTTTGGTTTATACATGAACGGGACATTCCAACTAAATAAATAGTACATCATAAAAAGTGTAGCTACCCGATAATCGAGTTTCTGTAATTTCTCTATTATAACTTTAACTGAATTATGATGTGTAAAAAGTTCTACTTGACCAGGAAAATCAAAAAGAATGTAATCGTCTATTTTTTATAATTTAAAAAGCAGATTATGTTTGATTTAAAAATATATTCAAAATATGTAATTATAAAAAAAAAAACGCGAACCTCCTAACGCCTTCAACTTCTCTTCAAGCCAATCAAAGTTCTTTTCCAAGAATTCCATGCAATACATCATTCCTCCGTTTGGTCCCAATCTTAATTCTTCCATTGCGTCTTGTAGAACAAT